ATCCTGGTTGTGTGCCCCCACACCAGGTGACTGCAGCCAGCCCCAACCTTGCACCCCCATCCCTGGTTAGGGCTGGGCTGGGTACTCCACCTGAGGGCTGCGATGCAGCTAGGATGTGGCTGCAGGTGCCAGGTTGGGGCTAGAGCCATGAGTCAGTGCAGGGCAGACAGAGCCTGTGCAGTGTCTCCAGACTGGCCAGAACCCTGGTCCCAGCCCACAGCCCATATACCCTGACCCTATGGCTCCCAGATTCCCACCAATCTGGGATTTTTGCATAAATGTTCTCCAGTGGCCAGGATGCTGAGACAGCCTATAAAATCCTCTTCATACAGTCACCCTATTGAAGAAGGTTGTATTATGGACACAGAAGCAAGCTATCCTGACGTTATGGAAGAGTTGGAAGTGTATCAAGTTACCAGCCTGGCTAGACAGCAATCTCTACGATGAGCTGAATCAAAAAGGAATTCTACAAAATGTGGAAATTCTGTTATCTAACTAGAGAAAATTATAACAGCACATGGATGTGCCAGGAGAAAATCAGGAAGGCCAAGGCATGATTTGAGATGCAACTGGGAAGGGACATAAAAGGCAATAAAAAGGGATTCTACAGGTATGTCAAAAGTTTAAGGAAGATCAAGAAAAGTAGGCCCCTTATGAATTGCAGAAAGCAACCTAGTTATGGATAATGCCAAGAAGGCTGAAGTATTTAATTCCTTTTTCACTCCCATCTTCACTAATAACGTCAGCCACTAGAGTACAGTTGGCAGTAAAGAAGACTAGAGTACTGGAATAACAGGTCAGGGATTACTTAAGGAAGCTAGATTTTTCCAAGTCAGCAGGGCTGGATGGGATAGACCCTACCGAAGGAATTGGCTGATATAATTTTAGAGCCATTGACTATCTTCTTTGAGAAATCGTGGAGGTCAAATGAGATCCCAGATGATTGAAAAAAGCAAATATAGTGCCCAACTATAAGAAAGGGAAGGAGGAGGACCTGGAAAATTACAAACCAGTCAGTCTGACCTTGCTACTTGAAAGATCATGGAACAGATCCTTGAAAAATCTGAAACACCAGAGGTTATCGGGAACAGCTAGCACGGATTTACCAACTTAATTCCTTCTATGATAAGATGACAGGCTCTGTAAGCTGAGGGGAGAGCAGTGGATGTGATATACCTTGACTTTAGTAAGGTTTTTGACACCATCTACCATGTCATTCTCATTAACAAGCTAAAGAAATATAGATTAGATGAAAGTATAAAGTGGATACATAACTGGATGGACCATCGTGCAGTCATCAATGGCTCAATATGTAGTTGAGTGGAGTTATCAAGTGGGATTCCTCAGGGGTCTGATCTTGGTCCCAGTATTGTTTTATTTATTTATTAATAACCTGGATGATAGAATTGGGTGCACGCTTAGCAAATTTGCAGATGTCATCAAGTTGGCAGGAGCTGTAGATACTCTAGGTGGTAGGGATAGGATCAAGAATGACCTGGATAAGTTGAAGAAATAGTTTGCAATCAGTCAGATGAAATTCAACAAGAACATGTGCAAAGTCTTGCACTTGGGATGCAATTATTGTACAGACAAATACAGACTGGGGAATAATTGACTAGGCTGAAGTACTGTAGAGAAGGAGCTGTGGGTTTCAGTGGCCCATAAGCTGAATATGAGCTAGCAGTGTGCTCTTGTTGCCAAAAATCAACAGCGTGCTGGGTTGTATTAATAGGAGTGTCTCTTGAAAATCAAGGGAAGTAAATCTTCTGCTCTGTTCAGCACTGGTGAGACCTCACATGGAATTCTGTGTCCAGTTTTGGGCCCCATACTTCAAGAAATATGTGGACAGATTCCACATGTTGGAAAAAGTCCAGTGGAGAGTGACCTAAATGATTAGACACCTGGGAAACATGACTTATAAGGAAATGCTGAAAGAACTAGGGCTATTTAGACTGATGAAGAGAAGATAGAGGAGGAATTTGATAAGACTTCAAATATCTGTAGGGAGATTATAAAGAGGATAGAGACAGCCTTTTTTCTGTGGCTGTAGGGATCAGGACTAGGAGCAATGGCTTCAAAATGCAGCAAAGGAAATTTAGGTTGGAGATGAGGAAGAAATTTGTGACTATGAGGGTGGTTAAGCAGGCTACCTAGAGAAGTTGTAGAATCTTTATCTTTGGAAGTTTTTGAGAGCAGGTTAGACACTTGGCTGGGATAGTTTAGTCAGGGATGATTCTGCCTTGATTGGGGCATTGGATGAGATGACCTCATGAGATCTGTTCCAGCCCAAGATACATAAATTGCAGGGCCACAATAAATAAGTACATAAATAATCAATAATAACAAGAAAAATCCTAATGCTTCTTAGCTATTTGCTTTTCTTCTCCCTGCTCTTAAATAGAGGAAGTGGTTGGTCAGGTGCTTCTGCGCTCCAAAGAGAAGTTGTACCCCACATACTAATAGAATGCTTAGGCAGGCCCTGTCTACACTACTGCAGTTGCAGGGGGGCCACAAGCTAGTGTAAGGTGCTTCTCTGGGAAGGCCAAGGTCCCTGGCTCAAAACTGCAGTCTTGACTGCTACTGTACAGCTTAATACAATTTCTCCTCCCCAGCAGACTACTCACTCAAAAAAGCAATTCTAGTATTACTAATATACTTTATGTCTACCTTTCTCCAGGCAACTCAACTTCTCCAGGCAACTCAACTCTGCAAGTCTGTCCTCCAACATAATTCCCTTTCTTTGGGAAATTCTGATGGGAAAAGATACACTTTCAGCTTGATCACACTTGTTTCTTCTCACCCATCTGGTTCCTTTGAAGCCTGTATCTTCTGCTAAACGAAATAAACACTCATTAATTTCTTCATTTCAATTTGCCCATTTCCACTATCTGCTTTATGTGCAAATGTCAAACCTGAATTTAAGGCATGTTTACACAGATATTGATAAAATGGGGGATGGAGCTGAAGTGGACTTGAGTTTTTTCCCATTGGATAGAAAAGAGCCAACTCCCAGCTTCTGAGCTGGATGTAGGTTTTTAAACTCTGTCAAACTTTGAAGGGATTTGCATGATTGCATATAGCTGTGTGGGAGCAAGAGGGCATTTTTCAGGTTCCCCTCATTGTTCAGAATAACTGTATCCTGCCAGCTGCTTAAACTGAACTAGTCAGTACTACTTTTCCAGATAAGTCTGTTAGAAGCCCATCTCTCACTCCTTCCTCAGAATAAGTGGTTCATTTTGTGTTAATGCAGTCACCCCAAAGGGTCTGCCTCAGTTAAATTAGCGCCCTCAGTCTTAATTGAGCTACAGTTGACTCAGACTCTGATATATTTGATTTGATTCTGTGTTATTTTAAAGCTTGTTCTTACATCACTTTCATATGGCATGTTAGTTCTGACCGGCTGTGTTACCACCCCTTCTGTGTAGCCTAAAATCTGTGGGGCTCCCTGTCTTTGGCTAGGAGTTTTTCATGGGGAGCACTCACAGGATTGTGTCCACATATGCAGGTATGTGTCTAAATTTATACTTAGATTGCTATTTACAATGCATGGTACTGTTTGCAGTGTGCACATGAAAAACCAATAAAGAGGTTTATTAAACCAGGACGCAGACTTAACATACTGACAACTTATGGGAGACATTGGTGAAAGAAGAAGAGTAACCTTTATTATATAGCATTTACAAGACCAAGCCATGGACCAGGACCCTATGTGTTGGGCACTGCATCGTTTTACACACATCTACACAGGCTAAATTGAGACCTGGTGCAACTTTACTTGGCACAGGGTAAAACTAGGGAAATGTGAATGGAAACCATGAAACCTAATGGAGGGCTCAGAAGTAGCTAAAAGACCTGGAATGGCTTATGTGTACATTACTACAACATTATAACACCCCCTTTGGACTGGGAATAAAGTTCACTAAAAGAACTGTAACAGGGTTAGTCAACTGGCTGCATCATAATAATGAAAAAATGGTTCTTGCCATTGGTATTGTTAAAAGCAGGGGCTTATTACAAACAAGGAACATCTACATCTGCAATTAGTGCTCCTGAATAAACATTTGTGCTGGAGTTTAGTGCTCCCAGGTGCAATGCTTACACATGTGCCTGGGACTACAGCATGTTGAGGCAGGGTGGCACAACCCTGATTGGCAGAGGGTCTGGGGGGTTAGCCTACAAGCCTGGAGTTGCTCTGTCCTGGCTCAGTGTGCTGTGGAGAGGCTGGCTGGGACACAAGGGTGCTCCAGTGTGGGGCTAGCCAGCAGGCAGTCCCCAAACTGAAACACCCTTGTGCTCCAGCCAGCTCCGGTCTCTGCCTACACATGTATTGTGGTGGAGTAAATAACTCTGCTGTAGGATAGTACTTGTGTTGGGCAGTACTGTCCTACAGCAGAGTTAATTAGTTTATTCCGGTCTAATAGTGCCACATGTATAGATGGTGACACTTTACTGAGGATCTAATTAGTCAGCTCCAAAGTAAAGCACACATCTAGATGCCCCCACAGAGTATTTTATAGTGAGATTGCTCTCTCTCTCTCTCTCTCTCTGTATAAATACACCTAAACACACATGGCCACACACACTCACCCACGCATACTCAATATATACACCCACACTAATTTAATTTCAAGATGAGTGTGTCTAATAATAGGTATCTTGAGAAACTTTACATTAATAAAATTAAATCTCCAACTAAATTTGTTCCTTTCGTTAGAAGTAAGAGAGGTGCTGGAATCTATGGGTGCTAAACTGAGATGGGCTTTTACATAATTTGCTCAATAAAACAGCAGACTCCCAAGAGTCACAATTAGAAGCAGCACTCTGTATTGAAAAATCACATCCTTCTCTCCTTCCTAGAGTATCAGCCATGCTAAACTCATCATAAGTCACTAGCTCAGAAACAGGAAGCTACAGAGGCAACAGAATATGTGTCCGTGTAAACTGCATCTATGCAAATAGGGGGAAGGGGAATGTCTTTCTGAACCAATTAGAAATCATCTCTGACAATAAGTCAACCAGACGCTCAAGCAGATCACCAGTGTCGAGTTGCTGCAAGCGAAGCTTTAGGAATTTCAGCAGAGGGTCCAAATATCCATCAGGTATCTGTGGATGGCTCAGGGAGGGGTGTGTGTATGTGTGTGTGCATTTTGCCTAAAATAAACAATTTTTGAGGGTCCTAAGATTTAAGCAGCGGTCTTTGCACATTACTGAGAAACTGGCGCATACAGAGTTCTGTCTCCTGGCATGTGGCTTTGGCAAGGAGCCCATAACAATGCTTGAGACAATTTTAGCTGTGAAGTTTAATCTCTCATTGTCTGGGGGGGCAGGGGTTATGACTGACTAAGTGGGACTGACAGATGTAAGTTTCTGTTTTTTAGCCAGCATTGGGTATCTTTGTCATGCTCTTTCATGTCTGTCAGGATTCACGTAGCTGTCTATGGCCATGGATGGATAAGCAATGGATGATGGATGGGCAGGTGTTTAGCGGGTTCCTTTGGTTCTCTGCTTGGGTCTGGTTTCATTTTGGCTCATGTGGCCAAATCAGCTGATTTGCTAACTCTTTGCTTCCTCAGGCACAGTTTGCTTCCTGTACAAGGGCTCTCTAGACCTCTTCATCATGCTAATCTAGTTTCTGGCCTGTCTAGAAGTAACTGACCAAAATACCTCACTCAGTATCTCTCACAGGCACACATGGGAATCCTCCTTTGACTCAGGACAATTTTCCTCTTACAAAATTCCTCTTCTTCTCGCCCCCCATCCTCCACTCCTCCTTCTCCTTTCCTAAAATATTGAAGACCATCCAACCGTCCAAAGCTCTAAAACTTTAGAGAAGCGCTAGAAGTCATCTTTCCTTAACAACAAGAAGTTAAAATGTCAAGCAGGACAGAAATGGCAGTAGATATCAATACAAGAAAATGTGAGGAAACTTAGAAAACCCAAGCTGCATGATAGGTAGTGTGTGAAGAGAGGACTGGCTTCATGGTTACATTGGAGAATTTAGTAATACCATAGGTTGGGTGTATGATCCTGGATAAGTCACTTCCTTTCTCTGTGCCTCAGTTTTCTCGTTTGTATATGACAGGTCATAAAACTTACCTGTTCAGCTTAATCCATCATCAATGTCCAGAAAACCCTCAGAGAGATTTGGATGAAAGATGCTTTAGAAATGTGACACGCTATTGTCTAAACATCAGGTCAGCTAGCATGGTATAGTCATATCTAACAAAGAGAGGGAGTCTCTACTCTTTTTTTTTTGTAGATCAGAAATCAAAATAAATAAGTAATTAAAATGAAAATGGAGTTGGTTGCAGCTGTCGCAATAGCCTTACAGACATCCCCTCTCTCCTTACCTGACTGTCCCTTTCCAATACTCTGGAATTTCTTTTCTTGCTTGCATTATCCCATTTTTCCTGCTTTGTCTCAGCCGGATGGTTCTGTTTCTGGGCTTTGCTCTACCTTTCTACCTACTCCCTCAGTCTCACTGATAAATGCTGCCTTCCTTTCCTTGTCCACTAGTAGAGGGCATGTGACTGTTGAACAAGATAATGAAAAGAATGCAAGCAAGATTGAACGACCTTGGTTAGTGAGGCCAGGTTAAAATAGGTGCCTCGATGAAGGTAAATGCTACAGTATAAAAAGAGTATCTGAAGTCTCCACTATGCTAATTTTAAGTTTCTTCTTTTAGAAACAAGGCACACTGTTTCTTCAGTCTGCTCTTCAGACCAGAGAAAGAGGTAAAGTTGCCAGATACAAGACAGGCCTATTTTTGTGGACATGGAGGAGTTTCATGATGTCATGTTGGGGCCCTTTTGTTTTTGGGGCAGGAGGACAATGAACTGCACATTAGTGGAATATTCAATGCTAACAATTTCCACCATTTCACAGGGAGAGTGTTCCTGGCAGAACATATAACAAAGTCTGTTTGGAAAAGCAAGAGAAAAGTTTTATGGTTTATGAAAATGAGGCAAGGGAAAAGCCTGTTGGACCATGCTTGTCATCTATTCCCCTTACAGAATGCAGTCCCATCACAGAGGACATGTCGGCTGATGCTATCATAAATTCATTTTGTATCCACCCACACGTAAGGAACTTGGAGAGAGGCCTGCTAGAGGTGGAAGTCTGTAGGGCTTCATTCTCCTCTCCTGTATTTAAGCTGTAGGGCCAGATTCTATCCTACCTCTTTGGTACATAAGTGGACTTAAGCACCTAAGTGTGATTTTGTTCTACCCTGCTACTTTTTGTGACTCAGTCTTGAGGGCTAGATGATGCTGGGCATGTCTACATGAGATGCTTTACTTGAGATTAGAGCTAATTACTGCACAGTAAGCATCACTGTCTACACATGTAGGTGCATACTGCACAGTAATTTGCTCTAATTGGGAGTAAATTTGCTGCCTGCAAATACAAATCCCAGCCTTGGCCCTGTGATTGTGGAGCGGGGGCTGGGAGCTCCCTGCTGCTGGAGCAGGGGTACATTGTCCCTGCTTGGGCTCTGGTAGTGGAGCCTGCCTTGGCAGAAGGCAGCTTTCAGGGGCAGGGGAGCAATGTCCCAGCCCCCACCAGGAGACAGCTGTCTCCTGGCCCCGTGTTCCCCTCCAGCCCTTGGGTTAGCACCCAGGGGGTGCCTAGAGCTCCCCCTTGCTGCTTCAGGGGCCTGGTGCAGAGTTGCAGGGAGTGGAAGCAGTCTGCTGCTAGAAGCAACAAATCTATTCCCTTGTCTCTGCACATGTAGACACATGCCTGGGAGAGTTTGCATTAGAGTACTTTCTCTGGAGTAAACTGCTCCTGGATTATTGCACATGTAGACATGCCTGCTGAGTTGTGCAAGTAAATGCATTAGCTGATTGTTCAGGGACTCGAACACAGTGAAACAGAATTGCACTCAGACAGCTAAGTCCACTTACATGTCTAACAGGTGGAGTTGAACCTGGACCATAGCAACCAGATGTGCAAAGGAGCAGGACAGTGAGAGTGCCAAGCAGAGTGCACTGGAGTTTAACATAGGGTTCTGTTCCACTGAGTCTCTGTCAGAGTCTCTTCTTATCACCTCTTTCATAAATACTTTAATGCACACTTATCAAGAGCAGTTCTGCTACTCAGGGAAGTGACACTGACCTCGGAGAGTAAGGAGAGATTCATATTAGTATGAGGAGGACAGGGGCTCCCTGTGTGAGGGATGACAACCCTGGTATGCAGAGGTGGATTAAGATTTATTGGGGTCCTGGGCAAACACAAAATTGGGGCCTCTTCTAGAGGTGCATTGATAAATTGGTGCATATTGGACTGTCACTGAGAAAAGAAAAATTAACATTTTCAGCTTTTTTGGCCCATGTAACTAATTAATGTCACCAATAAATGCCGCATACACATGGCCAGGAATGGAGACAGGCAGCTTGGAGAGCAGTGAGGGCAGGAGCAGGAACTGGGGCTGGAGCTAGGACAGGAGCAGGTGCTTCCCAGCCAGGGCAGTGAATGTGACCCCAGGCCAGGAGCGGGACAGAGCTGTGGGCAGCTCCTCCAGGGGACGGTGGGGTGGAGGCCTCCATCTGCCTCCCCCATTCCCCTTCCCCCCACAGGCTACTCTGGCTGCCCGGCTGTGCTCCTGGCCACATGCGCAGCAGCACCTTTCATTTTCTCCTGACTGCCCCCCTTGCCACTGATTGGTGGAGGGGCTACACTTGCAGCTTGCTTCTCAGCAGGGAAGCGAAAGCCAGAGTTTTAAACTTGGCGCCATTTTTGTCTCCCTGCTGCAGATTGGCCAAGGGGCCCCAGCAGCTCTGCTGCTTCCCGC